GAAACACAGCTGGTAATATTTGGTTTTAATTCGGCTTTTATCGGGGTTTATTTTTTGGATTTCTGTATTTTTGTATTTTGTATTTTTTGTATTTTGTGTATACTATTTGTTTTTAATATGCTGTGAACCGCCCTGAGTCCTATGGGAGAAGGGCGGTATACAAATTAAATTATCTATCTATCTATCTATCTATCTATCTTTTAATAAAATCCAAGAAGAATTGTCTGACAAGCTTTAAAATGATTTTTTATTTAAAGGAAATGTTGGGTGAGCTCTTCACACCTGTAGAAACACCAGAAGCACCAAACAGAGGGTTCTTCAAAGGTCTCTTTGGAGGCGGTGCACAATCACTTGACAGGGAAGAACTCTGTAAGTTGATTTTATCATTTTTTTAAAACAAACCTTCATATGAGGGGAATAGAAAATTAAACGCAATTTATCAGTCCAATATAAACTAAAGTATGGAAAGAAATTGAAATAATAGAAACTACTGAAATGTACTGCTTGTTTCCTCCTAAGTTGCTTCATTTATAAAAGAATGGATTTTTTTTTGCAAAATTCTCATCTATTTAATGTAGAATTCATAGAATTGCATTAATACTTAAAGGTGCCTGTAATTAAAAAAATGGGATAGAGCCTGACAGAAAGCCTAAAAAAGGGCATTTCTAGTTTCCATGGGATGTAAAATGCATTAAAGTCCAATTATAGATGTAGGAGCAAGTATCCTGTAATCACTTCTCCTAGATTAGATACAAATAAATGGATTTATATCTTCTCCTACAGATTAATGTTTATTAATATATTTTCCATTTTATGCGATAACCAGAATTCAGAGTTTGTTACCTGTAAAAAATAACATTAAAAGAAACAAATGCAAGATTTTAAATAGGTACTCATAAAACAGAAATTAATATTTCTGTAAGTATTTACCTGTTAGAAAGATACTGGATTTTTTTTCTGAATATAAATGCAAAATATTTATTAGACTCCAGCAAGTGAAAGCAGTTTAAGAGACAGAAAAAAATCAAAGTCTTACAAATAGAGATTTACAAAGTTTAGAAAAGATTATACTAGAATTGGAGGCACTCAAATGCATTAATTTATTTATATTTAAGAAAAGTACTAAAAATTACTATGTGAGTCAGAACTATCCACTTTTGTCATATATATTCAGTAAGAGTGGCTTTTTTAAAACTTCCAGCACACAGAGTATTATTAAAATATAATAATAGTGATCTATCTTTTATTGGTAATAAAGTACTGTATATTCTACTACTTCATAGTCTCCTAGGAATATAAAAGCTGTATATTAATGTGGAAATAAGTAAAACAACAAAATGGCAAACCATTAGTGGTTTTACTGAGTACTTTTCAGTTTCTGACTCACGGAGACAAAGACTAAGGTGATTGAAATAATACCCTTTATTGTTACAACTTCTCTCCCCTCCTTTCCTTTTCTTTCCTTCTCTTTTGTTTTACATTTAGAAACAATGCAGCAACATAAGGTAAAACAGTGTTTTTCAAATTTAGCCACTTTTAAGATGCGTGACTGTTGAAGTCCATACATCTTAAATTCATCAAGTGAAGAACATGATATAAAACATAAAGAACTGTTGAGGAGCCAAATCAATCTACACAACTAATAACCACATCACAGGATTTAACTAGCACTCTAATTCCCATGCCTGGAACACATCCAGGGTCTTAAGAACTTTCTGAAAAGTCAGCAAGTCAAAGCCAATCTAATTTGGGAGAGGGTGCTCCAAAGGGCAAACTGAGCAACAGAAAAGGCTTACTTTGTGGTTTACCACTTCATTATAAATTGGATAAGGAACATACAGTTCGTAGGTGTATTAACTTCCTCTAAATAATTTCAAATGACATTTTAAAAATAATGTATATAGTTAAATAGGGATAAGATATTGACTATATTGCTGTTAGAATTATTGAATAATTTTCAACATGTTATTTTCATTTGGTTTTATCATAAAGTATATTGTTTCATCTCTCCCAATAATTCTGCCTATGAGTAGTAAGTTCTCCTCTGAAAGGAATGCAAACATAATTTGTTTTTTTTTTTAATATGGTCAGTTGGTGAATCTGTTGCTGGAAAGGCATCGAGAAGCCTTGCCCAGCATATACCAGGTCCTGGTGGTATTGAAGGAGTCAAAGGAGCAGCATCAGGAATAGTTTGTGAGCTGGCACGAGCCAGAATAGCATTGGATGAAAGAGGGCAAAAATTGGGAGAGCTGGAAGAGCGAACAACAGCCATGTTAGCTAGTGCTGATTCTTTCTCAAAGCATGCACATGAGGTATGTCCTTGTCAGATATCAGTTGCCTTTTTTACAAGAAGGCCAATTCTTTTGAATGATTCTTTCTAGTTTGAATAGAGCAGCATGAAAGTTATCACTGTGGATATTCTGGGGAAGGAATGTGAATATTCCCATTATGTTAGCAGTTATGATCAGATGGGCTTTCCTGGTCATCTTCATTGAAATTAATTGGTTGTTATATTGTTATAGGCAGAGAATAAGAAAATGAACTCATGCAATTTATATTTGTGGGGCTCATTTTTCTATACCCCTTTAACTATTATTTATTCACTCATTAATAATGGATACTTTGTAGTTTTTAAAATAAATGGTATTGTATATACACTCAGATGCATTATTATATTCTGTCCCTTTGTTTTGCTTTCAGATGATGTTGAAATGCAAGGATAAAAAATGGTACCAGTTCTGACAACACATTCTCAAATGCATCTCTATAACTTTACCTTGAAGAAAAATCTTTTCATTAACTTCTGCAGGACCAGCAAAGCTGGAAGGGTGTCAGCCAATGGGTACAGATGTTCCCTAGCACAAATTATGCACTGGTTTACCTCAGTCGTACAGCTTTAACTGAGGATCATTGTATTTAAAACTGACACCCACATCGTAAGGGTGTGTTTGCGCAACTGCGCATGTATGTGTGTTATCTGGGCTGACTGGGAACTTGAAAACAGAATTGATGGCAAAGAGAACACATGGACAAAAATAGAAAATTTGGAATCAAAAGAGCAGGGGCAATGCAGGATCTATCCTGTGTTAATATTTCATATGCCAAAAGTTTTGTGCTATTGTTGTTGCTGCCAGTGTTTCATCCTCCTTCAGGAGGCTGCAATAAATCAGGGGTCCAAGAGATAGAATAAAGTTCATTTTATGGGACTATTAGTAACTGATCTACACCTTTCCTCCTTAAAAGCACATTCATAAAGCTGTCTGAAAATGACTTATTCTGCTACCATTTCTCTGATCTGATAAACTGGAAATACACAAGTTCCATCTTGAATCTACACATAGTTCATATGCAGTCACATAGTCTCTTCTTGGACCCCTGATCTAATAGTATTGTCTTTGCATTTTTATATTGTTGCTGCATTGGGACTTCATAATAAACCATGGCATGCTTTTGCTTCAGTTTTTGTTTAACTATAGCTTTGTTCATACTCAACAAGATTACTTTTATTGCCTGTGACTTACTGGTCTGAAATAAGCCATCTTCATAACTCACTTTGAAGCTAGCTTGTTTCAATAAACTTTAGGTAAGATTTGTCACAGATGACCATATAGGATTAAACTGCTGTTAATCAGATGTGAAAGTTTCCAATTTTGTAGGGCCATATCAGAGAAGCAGAAGAAAGGAACATGTAAGCTCAAGGCTTGCTGTAGCTCATTTCTCTTATAATAATCCATGGTTTTTGTGATGTCCACATGCAGCCAGCATCAAGTAAAAAATAAGATAATAAGTTATTTTGCATCATAAAAACACAAGTGATTGACCTGCACATCATGCTAAAAGTTTTCATTTGTGTTATGGCTGTCTAATGTGAAAAGTAAAAATATCTCTTGCAATGATACATATTTGTCATCTTTCAACCAGTTATATATATATTTTTTATTTTCCTGCCAATATAGCTGGATCAATTTATAATTTTTTTACATGGTTACAAGTTTAATTCATGCTGTACAACTTACTTTGTGTGTTTAACAGAATGTATTTGTGTAAGAATTTAAATATCAGGTATGTAGCTAGCTTACATGCCCAATCAGGTAAACTTGTCTTCAGTTCAGTGTTGAACTCTTAAGATACAACTTTCACAATTTATCAATTGCATTGTACTAAAATATATTCAGGAAAAAAACATTTAATTTGAAAATAGTTTCTAAGTCAAACCCATCAGCAAAGAAGTTGGCTCCTTAATCTGAGTGTGCTTACTTGGAAACAAGTCTTTTAATTTGAAAGGAATTTTCTTCCATGTAAGTGCCCTTTGATTCACTGCATAGATTAAACAATAAAGTTAAAAGTCAGAGTGGATTGTTTTCAAAGCACTCAATATTTTACCACTTTAGGAACTGGTAGATTCTTATGTAGATTTGTATGAGAGGAGGGATTTAAGATGTGCCAAATTGAAGCAGTATATTTTTAGCTAATAAAGGCTGCACCAAAGCCATATTATAAAATATAATTTATTTTAAAATATTTAGAAAAATACGTAATTAAGAAATGTTTTGTCATGTTGGAAATCAGAAATAGTGACTAATTTGTGATCATTTGCAAACAGCCTTAATTAGTTTAGGCTTTATTTAAGCAAGTGCCAGTATATGGCCATTCAGAGGCTTGAGTTTTATTTTTCTAAACACTTGCCCAAACTCTGCAAATGTTGAATGAATTATTTGATATGCATGTCTGACGTTTAAGCCAAAAGAAAATTTCCTGGTGTTGGTTAAGCGATGGTTTGGCTCAAAATATTATTTGGATATGCATTTATCTGTAATATGGTTCAGTTCAGGTTAAAAGTTACTGACTGGCATTGTTTAATGAAGTCTTTCAAATAAATTAGACCTACTTCTGAAAGAATATGATTTAAGACACCTTTCATTTAATAAAGCTAAGCCCTTACAGTCTGGTTACAACACTGGGTGGGTAGGAGTGCAAACTTCAGGAAAGTTGAAATCTGTTTCTCTCTTGGGGTTTCTAATGTATTTTGCTAGTGTATTTAAAGCATTAGATTATTACCTCTCTTCAGCGCAGTTTTGGGTAAGGATGCTATGAAATTCACTTAATGTAGAAGAGAAGAGAAAAGAAAATTTCAATATTCCTGCAAATATGGGATACCTTGGACATCTGATTCAGCAAATGGTTTTTGCCACCAAGATTTGAGCCAGATCTAAAACTGCTTGCTTACTTATTTTACTTGTATGACATTTAATTATAGTACAATTGTGGGGTGTTTAGGGGTGTAAAATAAATTACTTGAGTTTATAAGAATATGTTGAATAAGATCCATAAGCCAAATTTTTAAAAGATATGTGATATAGGCATAAAATGTTAACAACTTATTTATTATTGTAACTTCCCTTTGCATTAGTAATTTCACTTGCCAGTTGCTAATTTTTGTTGTACAAATAGTATGATCTAGCTAAAATTGTTAAGTTTTGTTGATTTAAGCACATGCTAAAACAATGTCCTATTGGTTTCTTGGCTCTTACCTTGGCTTGATTGTGTCTTACAGTCAGAAGCATAAACCTCAGTACACTTAACTGAAACTTGATTTCCTTTAAGGAAAAATGTTTTATAGCTACAAATAAGCATAATAGTAATTCTTTCAGTTGTAAAAGATGGAAAAGAGAATGCTATAATGAATCAAGAATTAATGATGTCAGCTTTCTTACATGCTGGAAATGCTCCACTCATTCTGAATTCTCATTACCTTATTCTGAGGTGATTTCTATTATGCATTTCTGAACAAGTATTTGATAAATGAAAGCTTCATGAAGGAGATGCCAACAAACACCTTCTAAAATGTGTTTATGCATTTTATACCATGAATGAAATAATTTAACTAGAAAATATTTTCAGAAAATAGACTTTGGCAAATATGCCATGTTACCGGTTCTGTTTATTTAATACCATTTGTCAATTCTCCTAGAAGTAACATACAGTTGTAGGACAGTTTGCTTTATACATAATTTATTTGCTATAGTATTGGGGACATAACCATTATCTTGTTCATTTGTATTTCATCTGGACAAATAGTCAGAATAAGGCTGGATACATTTTACAGATTTGGAATGAATAATAGAAATGTTTGGTGGTTATGTCATATTGTGGTAGACATCCAGATGCTCTCTTTATTGCATGGCCAATAATCATAAATTATGAGCTTTATAACCAAACTATATAAGGAGCACCAAGTTGTATACTCCTAGTATGCACATTCATTTTGGACGCCTTCCACAACTCTTATCAAATTGATTTTGGATATTTCTCATAGTGCTGCGCTGAGCCATCTTATATTTTGAATGTTGTTGTGAAGGAGGAGGAACTTTTTTAGACTTGATGAAATTTCCTGAAAGGTTAGTGGTGGTTTATTAGTGACAAATCCCTATTCGCCAATCCGTTTGTGCATTGTTTAAAACAGAAACAAAAAGTTCTTTCTTTCTAGAAAGAGTAGGTTGCTTATGTAGACATTCAAACATGACAAGTAATACAAATGATTTCATTAAAGAACCTTACTATAAATTTTGTTTTCCTCTGATTACATAAACAATCTGTTTCTTATTATTTTTAGTGGTGTTGAAATAACAGTTAATAGTGTCTACAAACTTATTTAAAAGATACTATGGACAGAATTAAAAAATGATGGGGAATGTGTAAGAAATTAATGTGCAGATGTGTTACATTGTAAGGGCACATGAACACCTTGATAATAAGACCTAAAAAAATAGCAAAATGGTTAAGCATGTTTTCATTCACAAAATATGTCCATATTTGCCAAGCACATTTTGTTTGGAAAAGCCAAAACAAAATGCAAACACATTCTTCATTATAGTTGCTGATTTTGTTGAACTGTTGTAGCTGCATTGGCTAGTGAGAGAAATATATTTCACATAACTATGTATACCTTTTCAAAGTCAGTGGAAGGAAATGTAGTGTTTTTTATGAGGAAAATGTGTAGTTCAGAACTTTTTAGAAATAGATATAGTGGTTAAAATAAAGAATAAAAAATGCGCCAGCATTGTTTCTTTACTTATCACAACTGTGCAATTATTAAACCACGGATACTGTGTCAGGGGCTCATTCCACAACAGCCAGGACAGTTTGGTAGCATTGTGGTAGAAAAATAAGCATCTATTATGTAGTCAAGGAAAACTGCTGCTACTTGTCTTTCATGTAATATTAACAAGTTTAATTTTAATAAACTGAAGACACAATTCTTCAGTTAAAAACTGCCAAACTGTAACTCCTGAATGTTTATGTAAATATTATTTCAAGCAAGTCTGAAAGTGTGATTCCCTTATAAGAGTGAAGTGACTTTCCTAATTTGTATCAATAACCTTGGTATGATTTAATTTACATTTGTTGCTTGAGGTATTTTCTTCATGTGACATCTCTATATTACAAAGCTATAGCCAAAGATAATTGTGATGCGGTGAATTCTTTATTTTTTGCTTTCTATAGCACTGATCTTATCTGAACTATAAACTTGAATTTCTTTTCCCTGCACTTTAAGTATTGCAAGCTTGAGTAGTTCATCCTTTTCCATCTATAAATTTTAAATTCTATGTAGATAATACCATTTAGAAAATTAATTTCAGCAAACATCCTGTCCATACACAGAATTTTCTCATGTATCAACAAGTTCCTTGTGGACAGGAACTTCCAAGCTGGTGAAGGAAGGAAGGTCTTCAGGACTAAAGACTGCACGTATGGACTTGTTTCCTTCATTGATGAGTAGACACGTCAAAAGTGCAGGAGGTAACTGTATATTGAAACTCCAAAGGAGTAGGAAAAAGTAACTGTAAAATAATAATTTTAAAAGCTTTAAAACACCAGCAACAACTGAAACACTTTCAGATTTGTTTAATGGTCACCTCTAAAGCTGCAGTGTTGTCTAAAATAAAATGTGCTTTGGTTTTATGTTAAAAAGAGAATTAAGCACAGGCTAAATTGGCGTCGTGATAATCTTTTTATATAATGTCATAAGATATAGTTGGCTATCAAATCTGAGGCTATTTCTTTTAATTAAAATTATGTTAAGTTTGTCAAGGAAAACATATATAAGAAGCATACAAAAGTTAATTCAGCCTATAGGAAAAATGTCATGTAGAGATGACAATAAGCATACCCATAAAAACCTCTGGCCTAAAGCAACATTATAACACTACCTAAGAAAATTGCTTTATGAGAAGGATGTTTAAACATATACATAAACCAAATGTAACATCATATCGAAAAGCAGCTTGTTGATGTATATCCATTAGAAGTCTTTTTTTCCCATGAGTGTACTAAAACTGAATTCCATTCTATTTTATTTTGGTCAGCTACAGTCTTTTGTATTTTGAAATATTGTTTTCTCCATATTTTGTATTTGTTGGTATTTATCTTCAAAATGGTTTTTTTAATGGATATTGCTGTAATTGGTGAACCATCCCATTTTGTTAGTGCCCTGATGCATAGAGATGGAAATATGACTCCACTAGTTGTGGTGTGCCTAGTGACTGAAAAGTACTCATTGCTCGCCTTTGTTTATTGTGCAAATTCTCGACTCCGCTTGTTCCCATAGTCTAGATACTTGTCTGTACAGTATTGTGAATTTCTTTTTCCTTGTGAATGTTAGTGATGTTACTACCAAAAATAAAGATCCTGTTAAATGAATTTTATAGTTGGGGGTGGTGGATGATAAAAAGCTAATGTCCAGTACATGTGAATTACCTGCATTTAAAAACTGCTTAATGTACATTGAGATTCAAATCAGGAATGCATGAATATGTTTCCTATGTAAATTATGTTTGTTTGAAGTTCAGATCAGTGTGCTTTTTAATTTTCAAACTAATTTGGTTATAGGAATCAAAATGCAACTAAATCTGTATTAGCATTTTTCATAAATACATTTAGAAATTAGTATTTCTAAATGTCAAGCAACTGTATGTTTCTTCTTGACCTTTACATTTTTACAGATTAGTAAGTCTGATTTTTGGATAAAATCATGGCATCATCCATGGAGTTATTATTTGATATTACAAAGTGGAGAAACTGAATGTTAACTCCCTTTTTAAAACATGTGTAAATAAACTGTACTTGAGTTACTTAATCTTATATGCTGCTATTCATATTGGTTAGATCTAAGAAGAACTTTCTACTTTCTAGAATTGCTTCTGTTTCATTAAGCAAGCACCACTGAAGAAAAAAAAGAGAATATCAGTAAATGATTCTACCATTATTCTTTGGGAAAGCATGCTTGATATAGGACTTCTTGCTTAAATGTATTTTGCTCTATGTCCATTGTGTACTTCATTTTATTTTTTTATTGTCCTCTACCATTTTAGTCTTGCTGAGCCCCACTATGTGTTCTGATGATGAAACTGGGAAATGCATTTTAGGATAGGGTTGCAGATTCATCCGTCTACAAACTTAGTTTCATATGAACGGTAAACCATACCATTACAAATGGAAATGTTAGATTGCATAATTTTACTTAATGTACTTGATTCTAAACTATGTCATAACATTAAAATTAAGTATGGGATATTTTTGTAAATAAAAATACCTGTGCAGTTGGTATTTTAAAAAGAGAAAAATGTATATTATACATGTTTCAGAAAATAATGTTCATATGTGTATATGAATGTGTCATTATGCTGAAGGGCTCTGACTGGGCAAAATAAACTATTCAAATCTCTCCTGAAACAAAACTAGCTTTTGTTTCATGCATCATTAATGTATCCTTAATATGATCAATTCTTGAAGATCTATCCTGCTTTCTTATGCTTTCAAGAAGTAGACAAAGTGACAGACCTTAATGTATCTTTAAAAAAGGGTCCTGCATCTGAAAATAGTGCTGAGTTTAAGTTGCTGACTTCCTTGATTATGAACAAACATCTATAAAACGCCTCATAAGTGTTGCATGTATTTCTATAATTTATCATTTGCTTTTTAGCTAAAACTCAGTAGAAAGAAGAATCATCAAAGGAAAATATTTCCATATGTTAAAAGAAACATTACTTTATCCTTTGTGAAGTTACCTTCATTTCCATGTTTCTGACTGAAGTGTTGCATACACTTTATTATTTGTTTTTATAAGATCTTGTAGGCCTTATCAAGTTGGCCTTGTACCTTTCCCTTATAAGATCCTGTAAAGTCAAATCTTCTACTCAGGTATTTATTAATTTATATACATTTCCTTGTCTAGCCATTCAAAGTGGCTTTTATAAAATAAGATTTGATATAATTAAATTATAAAGGATACACAAAACTCACATCTTAAAAATATAAGCCAACCTCTTATAATACATTTTAAAGACTACAAAGTTAAACTAGAACATCAAACTGCCAGCAACTATTTTAAAAACCCAAGAGTACTAAAAGATTTAACATTTAAGAGTACTAAGAATTTAATAATAACCTATTCCCAGTTGATCTCTGTGGAAAATATTCCATAACCCCAAAGGTAATCTCGGGAATACATATGTATGGAGAATATATTTAAATGAAAGCATTTTCAGATACCAAACTGAAGAGACCTACCATCTTAAACAGAACTGTAAGAATGAAGTAGCATGTAGTGCAAGGGAGAAATGACTGCTTAAACACAGTTCAACCTTATTAAAACTCTCATTAACAGCTATGATTTCTGAAGCAGTCCCATAGAGATCACATTCCATTAGTCCATACATGAGATTATGGGAGTGTATCACTGCAACCAAGGTATCTGCCTAAAATCAGAGTAATAATGTATCCCCAAAGACTTTAAATTACAAACCTGATCTCTCGGAAGTAAAATCCTCTCCAAAACAATTGGAATCTTCATTTATGAGAAATTACCTATCCACAAAACTGTCCTACCTGGATTTAATGACAAAAATGCTGTTTTTGCATGTCCCAACAAAATACTATGAATTTTAAGTCATCACCTTGAATTTTAGGTACTCATATTTTTAAAAATACTGAATAGAAGTTTTATATTCAAAAACAAGTGTTTCACTTTGTGTGATTTATGTCTGTAGTTCTGTTAGTTTGAGGTATTGCTAGAACAAGAGTCTTCTTAATCATTATGCAGTCAAAATGCCGTATTTATTTCGAAGTAACTCCTACTTTGAGATTAGGGTTAAGTGCAAGTATGTTTCTGTTGCATTGTAGGCTTGCTATTAAGGGCATAGTAATATAAAAGAATTTTCCCATAGAAGTGTCTCTAGTCTTAGAGACATCATTTGGAGCTTGAACAGCCAAGCCTTCAGGGCAAATATGGGAGCTTAGAGTAACATACTATACTTAAAACATACAGTTTCCACTAAAATAACTATTGAATTCAATGACAGTGTCATTTCTGAGCATAATATAAAGGACTGAAAAAAGATTGCTCCTTTCAATATCTTCTTAAAAAGCATTTCTGCAGTTCCTGAATAAAAGGTTAGTAGAATCAAT